TCGGCAGCTCTGCGCAGAGGGGAACCGCACCGGCAGAGCGCAGCGTTGCTGCAGGGCAGACTGCGGGGATGAGGCTGCGGGGCTGCAGCCAGCCAGCCCCCTTGGGCTCTGCACGGGAGCTGAGCCAGCTCCTTAAGGACGTGACTCTTTGCCTCCTGGTTTCGGTTGCCCTTTCAAAGCTTGCAATTTCTTCTCTCCCTCTATCTCCTTCCAGTCAGAGCTCTGAGACCTGCCGGGACAGTTCCCTCCCCTCTCCCCAAGCCTCCCTCCCCGACCCTACACGCTTGGCTGTCTCGGCTCTGGCAGCAGCTGGGAAATGGATCTCAAGCCACGGAAGGTGAGCGGTGTCTCCCGAACCCTCGTTGGCAGGCTGTGATTTAGCACGCCAGGGGCCAGCCAAGGAGGCAAAGGGTGGCTCGGAGCGATGGCCACCGATACCGTGAAGGAATCTGACCGGCTCAAGCTCCCTTCCGGAGAGAGATTAATTTATTGCCCTGTGCCGACCCTGCTGTGGCAGGAAGACTCCTGTGGGGCGAAGCTGCTGTTTGCTCACTGCTGTTATACAGAGAGAAACGATGTTTGTGCTGTAGAGTATCCCCATTAAAAGGAAGTATTTGTTTTTTCACACAGCCTCTGAAGGCTTTGTCCCTCTTGCTCGCAGGGCTATTTTGCGCAATACCCTGCGCTATATGCCGGAGCTGCTTTCCCAGCGCAAGGCAGGGTTTATTTGCTGGCTGTTGTGAACAAGCCGTTCCTGCGCACAAGGAAGAAAGTGCTGCGTGCACTCGGCCACTCAGTCAGACAAGCTGATCGGAACGGGGTCCATTTAAATTATTGTAAACAAACAGGGACATCAGGTGTTATTTTAAATCAACTTTTTCTGGCGTAGCTTCAGCCCCAGTAGAAATCAGGGCCATTCCCGTGCAACGTGGCAGGGAGGGATCCTGCTTTCCAGGCAGCTGCACTCAGAGAGCCTTTTGCGCTGGGAAATACCCTCAAGCACCCTGCAGACACTGCCCCTCCGAAGGCGGCACTACAGCCCCGGCCTGCCCGCAGATGGAGACGTTTCCTGCCCTGTCCCGTGGCCCGCAGCGGGCTGTCTCCCCGGCTCCAGGCACCCACAGCCCCTGAGCTCGAGCGGGCAATGCACACTCGTGGGCACTGGGAAGCAGCACCCAGCCCTCGCCCCGGGGTGTCCAGGAGGGAGCAGCAGGACGCAGGCAGAACGGCGGCAGTCATCTGCCGGGGACGAGCAGCTACAGGGAACGGACGCAGCCCGCGCTGGGCACACAAGCGAAATGCTGCTGCTCTTCGCCTTGGCGCAGGGCTTCCAATGCAGGGTTCCCCCCCCAGGGGTTCATGGCAAGCCTAAATAGACACCCACAGCAACCCACACTAGACCGAGTTTCTCTAGTAAACAAACTTTATTTCATTCAAGGCAAAGCTAACTAAACCTCTACAGTGCAAAAATGTGCTGTTAGTCATCACACAGCATGTTGTACACATCCTGTGTTTATTCGCAGGTATCTCCTACATGTATTTATACATGCTTATACACATACGCGTCTGTCGCAGCACGCACCTCCGGCAGGGCCTTCTGCCCCGCAAAGCCTCTGCAGAACCCCAAAGCCCTTGTGACAGCAGGGACCCCGCAGGAGCTGGCGCAAGCTCCCAAGCCAGCCCGCTCCCCCAGAGCCCCCTGCGCTGCGCACAGCACCTGCACACATATGCATATAGGGAGAGTTACATTTCAAAAACTGGTTACGTTGACTTTTTCCATCAAGCCAGAGGAATAATCCATGCATAGTACAGCATTGCATATCCTGTGGTAAGTGGAACTGTGTCCAGATACTGTCTAAAAAAGGCGAACAGGTTAGGACAGCTAAAAATAGTTCTTTAAAAAAATCCCTTCCCTCACTGTCCTCTCCCACGGGAGGTCTCCTCCAAGGATGGGCTGGGGGGTCTCTTGGGGCAACTGGGAGGTCTCGCGCCTTCCTGCCCAGACTCTCATGCGTGACCATGGTATGTTAACAATACTTTGCATTTACAGAGTGCCTTTCGCCCCAGGATCTCAGAGCACTTTGCAAAGCGATGCAGGGAGCCTCACATCTCCTGTGAGGTAGGTCAGATTTACTGTCCCCATTTTACAGCTGGGGAAACTGAAGCACAGAGGAGTCAAGTGATTTGCCTGAGGGTCCCACGGATCCTCAGAGAGGGGACCGGGATCCCAGGGACCTGACTCCCACTCGCCCATCTAACCAGCAGCTGAGGAAACCTGCCTGGGGCCAGGTGCCTGTACCTGTCTCCTGTCCCAAATGCAGGGCCCTGCTCCAGTGGGTGCCCCTGAGCTCAGCCCGGGTGCGGCCGCACCTCGAATACTGTGTTCAGTTTTGGGCCCCACCGCCCCCACAAGCGGGCAGGTGGGGTCCGACCTCTCCCACAACGGTCTCCAGAGAAGGCAGCACCTTTCCTTGTTTGCCTTGCCCAGCAAATCCTTGCCTACTTTCCACTCCGGCCCCTCTGTCAGGGTGCAAGCCCCCCCAGCCGGGGAAGTCAGGGCTCAGCTTTGATTCCCAATTTCGAGTGGGGACGGGGGAGCTGCCTCTCCTGCAACTTCAATGGCAGACACCCACAAATAAAGGAGAAAAAAAGGAACAAATCACATTGTAAAGGACATTATCAACTTCAGTTGTAGGATCAACTCAGTCCCTTCATGTCTCATGTCCTGCTACAGCCCTTGGGAAGCGGGCTGGGATGCCCGAGTCCCCGCTGCAGGGTACCCTTTGCAAAGACCCTCTGGCTTTCTGTGGCACCCCTCATCCGAGGATCTCAAAGACTTTACAAATGTTAGCCAAGGAAGCCTCACAACAACCCCTGTGAGGTAGAGCAGTATTATTATCCCCATTTTACAGATGGGGAAACTGAGGCATGGAGAAGCAGAGCGACTTGCCCAAGGTCACCCAGCGGGCCAGTAGCAGGCCCGGGAGCGGGCTGGCGCAGCCCTAGCCCGGCTCTCCTCGCCAGGGCTTGACTGTGCTCCCTCCCTGCATCGTGGATGGAGTGCCACAGTTTTCCTCAGGTGAAAGGGAAACGCAATCAGCCGTTTTCCCACTGGAGTCTAATATAAAAAGTACCCACGTAACGAGTTAAGCCTTGGCGAGCCAGCATCAAAAGCATCGCTGCTCTGAGTGCCGAGCTTTAAAAAGAGGGGAGGAGGAGTAAGAGCAGCAGCAGCAGCACAAACCCAGGGAGTGCCCCACAAGAAGGCCGGGAGAAGCAGCCCCTCGCTGCCCCCGGGGGATGGCCTACGCACGGGCAAAGCGGGTGCCCCTGCCACGCTCCTGCTGCGGGCCAGCAGCGACCCCGGGACACGGCCAGCCCCGGCCACTGGTCCCCCCAGCCCTGCCACGGGAGGACCCGAGGCACCTGGGGGCCAGCCTGCCCCGCGGGAGCATGGCACCCAGGCCCTGCTGGGAAGAGATGACAGCCCTGACAGCAACGGGCCTTTCACTGATTCGGTTCTCAAGTGTGCTTAACAGGAGAGCTGAAGCCAAGCCCTGTCGCGACAGCCCTGCTTCCTCTCTTCCTCCCACGCTTGCCTCAGGTGCTGGGCCCATGAGAAATGCAGCGAAGGCAGGAGCCTCTACCTCTACGGCGAGTTTTGTGCATCCTTGCTCTGCTCCAGAAACCTTCTGCATGAGGCCGGCTTCCCTCCTGCCTGCTCCAGCTCGGCATCGCCAGAGTCGGATGAGAAGCCCCAAGCTCCTCGCAGCCTCTACCCCCCAGGCACGCTGGGATCTCGGCCACCCACCACCCCGCACCACCGGGAGCGCACTGAACACGGCACAGCACCCACCTGGCTGCAGACCAGGGTACTCCCCAGCACCCGGCCCCTTCCCTGCCCGCCCGGCACCCTCTTGCCTTCACTCAGAGCAGAGCAGGCGGCTCCCTCTGTCCTGGCGGCATCCCAGTCCGAGTCCGCAAGAAGCTCCCAGTCCCCACGGCAGCCGAAGTCTTTTCCGAGAAGCAGTGCAGGTTGCAGGCACGTGTGTAATAGAAACATGTCTCAAGCGTTTGGAAAGAAAACAAAAGGGAAAGGCTTGTCCCCCTGCCCACCCTCCCACGCTGCTGGGCGGGCTGGGGCTCGGGGCGCCGTTGCTTCATGCCTTTGGTGGTGCTTTTTGTTCCGCCTTGGAGCCGGCCAGGCCGTTCTCGGTGTTGTCGTTCCCTGACGAGCTCACGAGACACTCCTTCCTGGAGGAGAGCACATGGCCCGCTGCCAGCCCCCAAAAAAAAAACAGCCCCCAGCACCCCCCAGCCCCTCTTGCCACGACCCCGGCCCCATGCAGCCCTGCCCCACGGCGGCACCCACCCAAGGGTGCCGCGACCGGCACCCGCACTCACTTCCCATCTTGAGTCTTCTTGATGATGAACAGGACAACCCTCTTGATGAGCATGAAGAGGATGAGGAGGCCGATGAGCCCCCCCACAACGCCCGCGATGATGAGCGTCACAGTGTTGTCTGCCTCCACCACTGCAGGAGAGAAGGTGCTGAGGGGCCTCAGGAGGGGAGCAGGGAGCTCCCAGCTGCATGGCCCCCCCAGAAAAGCAGCAAAACCCTCCACCAGTCACCGGCCCACAGCACAGAGGGGCACGAGGCCACGCCTTGCCCTTCGGGGATGCCAACTATCTCCAGGAAGCCAGGAGACCCCGTGCACTGCCACAACCGTGAGCCAAGGTGGGGTCAGCCCGGCTTTGCATCCCCACCGCCCCAGTGCCACTTGTGGGACACGGGACCCCCGGCTGGCACTTACTCTTCTGGACCACCGTGAGGAAGATGGTGGCGTTGTGCTGCGCGTTCTTCTCCTTGGGGTTCCTGACGTGGCAGGTGTATTTCCCAGCATCGCTGAACTCCACATTCTTCAGGACGATGGAGATGTTGTTGTCCTTCCCGGTCGTCGAGCCGACGAACTCGACCCGTGGGTTGCGTCCCACAAGGTAGGGTTCCGAGGCTTTGCTCTTTATCTTGCCGTGGTAAATCTGCAGAGGCAGGGATGCAGGATGCGGGGTCAGCTGGGCTCCCGACAACCCCAGGTGACAGAAAGGCTCAAGTTCTCCCTCCGGTGCCCTGCCCCACCTCTGCATGCACAGATACGCACGGCCAAGCGTCCCGGCACACCCCATTACAGCAGGAACGGCCGCGGAGGGGGACCCGATGCACAGCCCGCTGGGAAGCAACAGATCAGTCTCCCTTGCCCTGCAGCAACGTTACAGACCGTGCAAAAGATGGGAGAACCCCAGGGCAAAGACAATCTCTTTGCTCTAGGGTCATCCAGGGCTGGCCAGCCTGCGAGGACAGACCTGCTCTAAACCAGCCCTCCTGCTATGGAGTTGAAGAGCAGAATATTCCTAGCAGGAAGCAAATCTATACCTTTAGTATTTCGGAGCAAGCGCAGGAGGAGAAAATTAACCAGATTTTGCCCGAAGTGCAGCCTTGCACCTGAACAGCCAATTTATGACCAATTTATGAAAAGAAATGAGCCTGTGGAGAGCAGAAATTCCAGAACAGCTCTGTGCCAAAAGCACAGCTGTGCCAGGGTATTTGAGTCACCCTGTTTGCACAGCCCCGTCCCCCCAGAGCTGGAGACACTCAAAGGGACAGGCATCCTGCAAGAGGAGAAAGGGAACCCCTTGAGAACTGCAGTGCTGGTCTGCACTGTGAAAGTACAAAAGGACCTGCCAGGAAAACAGAGGCAAAGCCCAGAGAGGCACCCACCATCTCTGTCGAGTTGAAATACCATGTGAAGACCAGGTCCTGAAAGCCTATGCAGGTGGTGAAGGTGCAGGGCAGCAGGACATTGGAGTTATTCAGAGCCATCACAGTGTTGGTCTTCCCCACCGACACCTCCAAGGCGAAGGCGATGGCGAAGACATGCAAACCTGGCGGGGAGAGGGGAAGAGAGAGTGAGGACACAGCGCTGGTACGCAGCCCAGCCTGCTTGCAGCCCAGTCCTTCCCGGGGCTGTGATGCAGCCCGGCCCGCTGCAGGGCTCTGCTGCAGACGTGCAGCCTTGGGGCAGATGGAGCAGGGAGAAGAAAGGTGCGTCGGAGGGACCACTTCTCCGCCCCTACAGCCCGACCTCTGGCTGGAGCATCAGCCGCAGTGGGGATCCCCTCCCAGGGGGCATGCGGAGGGCAGTGGGACTCAGCCATCGCTCCCGCTAGGTCCCGCTCCCGGCTCTGCCGGGGGCCCACGGCATCCTCCTCCTCCTCGCAGCCTCAGCACAGGGGGCACGAGCCCAGCTCTCCTCCCCTCCCAGAGCCCAGGGATGGGTTTGTTACCCCTCGTCCCCTTTGGCACGGCAGGCTGCCATGGCAGGAGCAAACATGCCTGTCCCTGGCCTCAGGACAGTTCGGCAGAGATAGGAGACCTGCTCCTGGAGGAAGGGCAAGGGCTGGCTGGCACCCACAGAGACAGCGTGGATTCAAAGGGAACCATAATATTACCACGAATAAAGTATGCAAATAAAAGCCCTGATTTGCATGTTATCCACAAGGCCTTCAGCTAAACGTTAAAGGGGGGAAAAAAGCCCAAAGCAAAGCAGAGCTCTCTGTTCTTCAAGCAGCGAGTTTGAGCACTAATTAGCATTGCTGTTCTGGACGCCTGCCACTCCGCCCGTCCCCCACCCCAGCCACAGGCTCTCTCTCGGCGAGGCAGCACAGCAGGCTCCTTGCAGCGCCCGTGCAGACCTCCGGAGCGGCACCCCCTCACGCCTGCCTCGCAGAGAGCTTCACCTCCCACTGTAGCTGGCAGATGACCTTCAAATTGCAGAACGTAGCTCTCCCGCTCCTCTCCTCCCCGTTAGCAGGTAGAAATGCATCGAGGAGCAGGTACGAGCCCAGCTGCAAGAGCTGAGGGCAGGCCTGGAACCTCCCAGGGTCCCACGCAGGGGACTGACATTGCACCCCTGTGCACCAGGCTGGGCCAGCAGTGTCCACACGAACCCTTTCCTGGGGGCACAGGGATGCTTTGCTTCAGGCCAGGGGAGCGGCCCCGCTCCCCATCCCCATCGCACCGGGGCCTCGTCCCGCTTGTATGACGTGGTATGGCCAAGAGGTGATACAACCCGGCAAAGCATTGTCCTCCCCCTTCCTAGACCTCAGCCACCAAAGGGACCCAGCCATCCCTACAAAGCTTTCCCTGGGCACTCTGACAACCAAAATACAGCGGGGACAGCTCCTCCCAGAGCTACAAGCTGGTCCCCAGCTCCACTGACGCCTTAACTTGGATACCCTGCCCTCAGCTTCAGATTCGAGTCTCCGCAGCCGCTTCAGCTGCTGATTTATTCTCCCACACGTGCCCCTGCTAACAACTCCCCCAGCACGTCGCAGCCCAAGCCAAGCCTGAGAGCCCTGCATCCTGGGCTTCGGGCCCTGCTGCAGTGCTGCATTGCAAGCACTGCAGGGAAGGAGTTACTTAACTTTACAAAGAAGCACTTTTCATTTTGCTTGAGAGGCTTTAGCTAACGTCAGGGAGTGGTTCCCACCAGATGGAGGTCTCCTGCAGTTGTCAGGCTCAAAGACCAGCCCTGGGGATGCTACAGAGCGGACTTCACAGCCGGGAGCGTCCCGGGGGAATCATGCTGCTACCTGGAGTAAGGCTTAGCGGAGGGATGCCTGGCTCTGCAGGTATGCCTGAGCAGGCACGGTGCTGCAAGGGGACAGTTACTTACAGGAAAGACGATTCCTTGCAGCTTGTAACACTTTTAATCCTGTCTGCCACCGTTATAATGTCATGAACGTAATCTGAATTGAATGTGTGGAGTAAATGGAGGCTGATCTTGTTCCTGTCATGCTGTGGTCTCAGGAAGACAGTGATATGTTACCGCTAAATAAAGCACAGAGGAAAACACGTTGGGAGGCTGGGAGATTACTGACTGAACCTGCCACACTAGCTGCCACCATTACATTTCCGTGTGGCCAAAGCTGCTGCACTTTGCACCACCAGAGCCCCGACATTCAGGGTGCAGGGCAAGCCCCTCCCGGGGGCTCCAGGCTACCTCCCATGCCTGCAGACACAAGCTTTCCTGAAGAGACAGGGAAAGGGGACCAGGGAGCAGCCACTCTTGCTGCTGCCAGAGCCTTGGCTGCCTGCTCTTTGCTCTTGCAGAGGGTGAGCACCTGGGCTACCCCCCCCCGTAATGAGGGGCCCCAGAGCCACCGAGCTACGTGCAGTAGTGCTGGGTGTGCAACCCAGGACCCAGCCCCAGCGACAGCAGCGATAGCCTTCCAACCCAGGCCAGGGCAAGCCTTTCCCCCCACGGGCTGCCGGCAGCCCCCCGCTTTTCCTGCAGCCCGTCAGGAACCCGGTCTGGGAACCACTGCCCCAGTGGAAAGGGCACACGGGACGCCCCCGCCTTCTGCGAGAAAGCTGCTCCATAAAAACTTTCATTGCCCATAAAAATCAATGTGACCTCCTGGCACAGACAGCATGCCATGCCTGGCGGGCTGGCCAGGCTCCTCTCCACCGAGGTTAGAAGGGAGGAGCTCCCAGGCCACCCTGAGCCCAGGAAGATGTGCTCTGGTACAAGACACCTGGGCCTCACCCTTCCTGCAGGCACCGATGGAAGAGGCTGCGCTGTGCCTCCCTGGTGCAGCCAGGAGCCCACCGCCCATCCCCGCAGAGCCCGCGAAACGCACAGACCCAGAGAGACCTGCCCAAAAACTCTCCCCTTCCCACCCCCCCCTCCAGGCTCCCAGCCCACCTGAGCAACCTGTGGGACAAGGTTCCCACCCCCACGCCCTGGACCCCAGACCCCCAAGTGCCCCGGTCTCCAGCGTCTCCGAGTCTCTCCTACCACCCCACTGCCAGCCCCCATGCTGAAAGCAGCTTGCACTGCATCTGTCTGAGGAGGCACTTTCAACCAGGGACCAGCACCCAAATCCTGCAGGGAGCCCGGTACTTACATGTCTTTTCGTGTCGCCAGCTCACTTAAAACAAACTTAAGAACTATGCCCTCTAAAACGCCTCTCAAGGGAGTTTCCCAACAGCAAGCGCTGCAAAGGCAGCCCTTGGTTCCAGGCTCTCTCTGCCCGTCGACACAAGGATGACCTACACAAGCAGAAGTGGAGCCAGTGCGTGAGGGCTGATGCAGGTGGCTTGGAACCAGCGCCAGGGGCTGCAGCGGGGAGGGGAGGGGTGCAAACTCCCTCCTCCACCCTGCAGCTGGGGGATCTCAGGCATCCCCGGACACAGGTCTGGGCGTCATGCTCCACGCAGCGGCCCTGCAGTATGGGTTCCTCCGTGCGCTGGGGAGAAGCGCATGCAGATGGTTGTTTTACAAAATGAACTGTAAAAAGAATGACCTGTCGGCGGGCGTGCTGGCGGCTGCGTTGAAGCAGTGCATTGCTTCCCTACGGCTATTTCCCTGGTTCACGTTAGCAGGCAGGTAGCAGTGGTCCCTGCTCACAGAGCAGCGGAGCGGTGCAGGGCAAAGCGGGATGCAGCCGCAGTGCTCACAGAAGAAAGCTCTGGCGATGTGAGCGACTGATGCAGGCAGGGCAGGGGGCTGGAGCCAGGACTTCGGAGTCCGCTCTCGGACTCGGCTGCGAAGTCACCTTGGACAAGTCACTTATCCTCAGTGCTTCGGACTCTCCGTCTGCAGAGCAGAGATAACTGCATTAGCGCCCGTGGACGGGAAATTCATCCGAGCAGCAGCAGCGTCCGATCCCTTGCGGTGCAGGCAGGCCAGATGCAAAGCAGCCGAGCGCGAAGGGAGGGCGACTTAGCGAGGGTCACCCCGCCTCGGGAAGACGCGGGG